GCTTGATCCAGCGAGCGGGTGCTCGATCCCCTCGATCCCGCCTGATCCCGATCGGGATTTCCCGTTCCCGTTGACCAAAAAAAAGCAGAAACAACAGAGAGACTTTCTCATGTCTTCTTCGGGCTATGTAGCTGTCCCCCGGTGCTCAGTGATCTTTGATGGCACCAACTATGCTGAGTTTGCGGGCTTCATGCGTATCCATATGCGCGGTCTTCTGTTGTGGGGCGTTCTCTCTGGCGAGGTACCCTGTCCGCCCTGCCTTGTTGCTCCGGTAGCTCCTATCCCGTCAGTCCCGCCGCTGCTTGCTGCTGATGCTTCTCAGGCTGATAGGGATGCAACCAAGGCTCTTGATGATGCTGCAGTTGACGCCTATGATCAGCAGGTATCTGCCTATTCTGATGCTCTTTCTGTCTACCGGGATGATCTGTCTGCTTACACTCAGTGGTGCAATGATGATGCTCGAGCTGCTGCTGTTCTCACGGCGAGTGTCCTCCCTCAGTTTGCTTCGGAGTTCATGGGCCTCGGCACTGTTGCAGCGATGTGGTCCTATCTTTGTCAGCGCTATCAGCCCTCTGGAGATGCTCTATACCTCTCTATGGTGCGTCAGGAGCATGCTCTTCAGCAGGGTGACTTGTCTGTGGATGAGTTCTATTCACAGTGCTCTGCCATCTGGCGTCAGCTTGACTCACTATGGACAGTTGTTTGTGGAACTTGCCATTGCTGTCAGACTACGTGGTCTAACTTGGAGTTTCAGAGGGTTCATGAGTTCTTATCTCGTCTCCGCTCTGAGTTTGAGCCTCGCCGTGCTCACTTGCTTGTTCGTGGTCGTGTTCCTCTCTCAGAGGTGCTTGCCGAGCTTCATGCTGAGGAGACCAGCCTTCACTCTACAGGGTTGCTAGCGGTTCCGTCTGTGTTGGCTGCTCGGGCTCCACTGTCGTCTGCTCGGCTCACTACTCCACCGCTCCTACGTACACCTTCAGGAGGGGTGGGTCGCTCTCCTTATGCTGAGAAGGGCCGGTCACGCCGTGACACCTTCAGTGGCTACTGCTCTCGGCCAGGTCATCCAGAGTCTGATTGCCGTGAGAAGAAGCGAGACCAGAGGCGCTCCTCTCCCAGTGGGACAACTGGATCTTCCTCGACTCCGTCACTCACTGACCAGGACATTGTTCGGCTTATACGCCTTCTGGCTTCCTCTGGTTCTTCACCGACAGGTTTTGCTGCTGCTGTGACTGCTTCCACCACTTCATCACTGTCGGCACCTACACCGTCAGGTACATCTTCATGGGTTCTGGACTCTGAGACTTCCTTTCATATGTCCTCTGATTCTTTAGCGTTGTCTTCCCTTCGCCCTCTTGATTCTCCTATTAATGTTCTTACTACCGATGGCACATCTCTTCCTGTTGCTAGTCGTGGTATTCTTTCCACTCCATCTTTTTTTGTTCCTAGTGTTTCACATGTTCCTCGCCTTACCATGAATCTTTTTTCTGTTGCACAACTTACTGATTCTGGTTGTCGGGTCATTCTTGATACAGATTCTTGCTCCATTCAGGATCGTCGCACCAAGGTTTTGGTTGGTGCTGGCCCCCGGCACCGTGAGTCCGAGGGTCTTTGGGAAGTTGACTGACTTTGTGTTCCTTCCGCTGCCACCACTTCAGTCAGCTCTCATGCTCTTGCTGCCTCTTCGTTTGCGTCCTTCCAGCAGTGGCATCATTGCCTTGGTCACATCTGTGGCTCTCGCTTGTCTTCCTTAGTGCGCCAGGGCCTATTAGGGTCTGCATCTGGAGATGTTTCTTTACCTTGTAATGGTTGTAGACTTGACAAATAGACCCAGTTACATTATCCTACCAGTCAGTCGGTATCCCAGCATCCTTTTGACTTAGTTCATTCTGATGTCTGGGGTCCAGCTCCCTTTGATTTGAAAGGTGTTCATCGCTACTATGTTTTGTTTATTGATGATTTCTCTCGTTACACTTGGCTCTACTTCATGAAATCTCGTAGTGAGGTTCTCTCTATATACAAATGATTTGCTGCCATGGTTCACATTCAGTTTTCCACACATCTTCGTACTTTTCGTGCTCACTCCGCTGGAGAGTATATCTCCTAGCTGTTGCGTGGCTTTCTCGCAGAACAGGGTACCCTTGCCCAGTTCTCCTGTCTTGGTGCTCATGCTCAGAATGGAGTTGCCGAACGTAAGCATCGTCACCTGCTTGAGATGGCTCATGCACTGATGATTGCCGCCTCTCTTCTGCCCCACTTTTGGGCTGAGACTGTTTCTGCATCCACCTATCTCATCAGCATTCGGCCATCGACTGCTCTGCAGGGTGGTATTCCTTTGGAGTGTCTCTTTGGTCACTCTCCTGACTACTCAGCTCTTCGTATGTTTGGATGTGTGTGCTACATCCTTCTTGCCCCGCGCGAGCGCACCAAACCGACTGCTCAGTCGGTTGAGTGTGTTTTCCTTGGCTACAGTGATGAGCACAAGGGCTATCGCTGTTGCGACCCTGTTGGTCGTCGCTTGCGCATCTCGCGTGATGTGACCTTTGACGAGTCTCGCTCTTACTACCCACGTCCATCTTCCTCGAGCTTCTCTGTGGACGACATTTCTTTTCTTCTCCTTCCCGATACACCCTGCTATGTGCGTCATGTTTCACCTCTTCCTCCTACACCTCTCATTCATTCTCATTCACCACCGACACCATCTTCTCCATCCTCCTCCTCCACCTCTACACCATCATCTCCAGTCCGTCGCCCTCTCTCACCGTTTCCTCTCCACTATACTCATCGCCCTCGTACTGAGGATGCCTCTCCTGACGTGCCTGACGCGCCTTCCACCTCTGGTGCACCTCCGTTCACGCCTACCCCGGTTCATAACCTCCGTGCTAGGCCTCGCCCTCCGCTTGATCGCTATTCTCTTGAACGGTACAGTCTCTCTGTTATTGCTGAGCCCACTTCCTATCAGACTGCCATGACTCAGCCTGAATGGCAGCTTGCGATGGCCGAAGAGCTTGCTGCCCTTGAGCGCTCTGGCACATGGGATCTGGTTTCCCTCCCTTCCGGTGTTTGTCCCATCACCTGCAAGTGGGTCTACAAGATCAAGACTCGCTCCGATGGTTCTCTTGAGCGTTACAAAGCTCGTCTTGTGGCCCGTAGCTTTCAGCAGGAGCAGGGACGCGATTATGATGAGACATTCGCTCCTATGACCCACATGACCACTGTCCGCACTCTCCTTGCTGTGGCTTCTGTTCGTCATTGGTCTATCTCTCAACTTGATGTCCAGAACGCCTTTCTCAATGGCGAGTTACTTGAGGAGGTTTATATGCAGTCACCACCGGGGTACTATGCTCCCGATGGCATGGTCTGTAGACTTCGTCGCTCCCTCTATGGTCTTAAACAGGCCCCTCGCGCCTGGTTTAATTTGAGCGCTTAATTTGCCTCTGTGGTGACTGCCGCTGGTTTCTTGCCCAGTGATCATGATCCCGCGTTGTTTGTCCACACGTCTTCTCATGGTCGGACTCTTCTCCTTCTCTATGTTGATGGCATGATCATCACTGGTGACGACTTAGAGTACATTGCCTTTGTTAAGGCTCGCCTTCGAGACCAGTTCCTCATGACTGATCTTGGTCCTCTTCGCTATTTTCTTGGGATTGAGATCTCCTCGACCTCTGATGGCTTCTACATCTCTCAAGAAAAATATATTCAGGATCTTCTTGCTCGCGCTGCTCTCGGTGATGAGCGCACAGTTGTGACTCCTATGAAGCTCAACATTCAGCTTCGTGCCTCTGATGGTGACCCTCTTCCAAATCCCACTTGCTATCGTCACCTCGTTGGCAGCCTTGTCTATCTTGCTGTTACGCGTCCTGACATCTCCTATCCTGTCCACATCCTAAGTCAGTTTGTTTCAGCCCCCACCTCTGTCACTATAATCACCTCCTCCGTGTTCTACGATATCTTCGTGGCACGATCTCTCAGCGCCTTTTCTTTCCCCGCTCCAGCTCTCTTGAGCTCCAGGCCTACTCTGATGCTACCTGGGCTAGTGATCCCTCTGATCGACGCTCGCTGTTTGCTTACTGTGTCTTTCTTGGTGGCTCTCTTATTGCCTAGAAGACAAAGAAACAGACTGCAGTTTCTCGCTCGAGTACAAAGGTTGAGTTGTGAGCCATGGCTATGTTGACGACTGAGGTGATCTGGTTACAGTGATTACTTGAGGACTTTGGTGTGTCTGCTACTACCCCGACTCCCCTACTGTCAGACAGTACCGGTGCTATCAGTATTGTGCGTGACCCGGTGAAGCATGAGCTCACCAAGCACATCGGTGTGGATGCCCACTTTGTGCGTGCTGCTGTGCATGATCAGACTCTCGCTCTTCACTATGTGCCCTCTGAGTTACAGTTGGCTGACTTCTTCACGAAGGCACAGACTCGAGCGCAGCATGACTTTTTCCTCTCCAAACTCAGTGTTGTTGATCAACCATGAGTTTGAGGGGGTGTGTTAGATGTGTATAGTCTCTTTTCGGTATATCCCCATTGTATAAGGGGTTTCATGCACTTTACCACACATGTATATGTAATGGCCTTTGGCCCTTAGTAAAGTCAGTTGCTCATTATCCAACAGTGGCGACGACGGCGAGGGTGGCGGCGCTCGGGGG